TCAGCCTTTTGATTCTATCAATTTCCTGAGTACGTAATAAACTTATAAAAAAGTAACTTTTTCGTGGGTTGTCTATCACAAGTACAGAATGAAGGTCACTTCTTTATTTCCCGACTTAAGTAACGCCATTTCTCAAAATCGTTTTGGCATCATTGTATATCCAAGAAGAGTCATAAAGTGAGTGCTTCGATTTAATCTAAAATAGGTGGTAATACAATTCCACACATATTCTCGTATTATTTTTTAATTTTCCATTTTTGAAAATTCAGATAGTTCAACGAAAATTACCTGCACGGACAAAGATTTTTGCTTTATATAAATTATGTTCTAAATGAGTGGCAGTACAAGAACATATTTTCTCGCATTATTTGTAATTGCTTGTCAATATTATACAACATGAGTGCACACGCAAGTGTTTTCAACCATAAAACTCACTTTTCCCGCATCCAGACTGGAACTCAGATTTTCCAAGTTAACTCACCGCGAAACTTACCTCTACGCCATGGATATGGTCTGCCATTCCGACTTGTGCTGACACTTAAATTCTAATTGTCTCAACTCAATATTTCCAGCACACAATTTTCGAAAATTCTAAGACACCAACAAAAATGCGACCTTCATCATTCTTTTATGAGTCTCTTGTTTATAGATAGAAAAAAATTGGTGCACTTTTTGATAAAATGTTATTTTTATAATCTGCATTAATTTCAAACAAAAATTACGTGAAAATTACTCGTTTTAAAAATATTTCATTAAGAACTAATTTTTACTTATCACTAAACGAACACATATATACGTAGTGTAGGAAAAGTTATGCCATGCTGCAAAAAGTCGATTTCGAAATTTCGACGGAAATACACCTTTTGGGGTCCCCTGATATCGAAAAAGTGTTTTTTCCGTCGGTCTATCCGTCCGTCCGTCCGGTGTCTGTTAACTCTAGTAGCGCCTAACCATGCATATATTTCTTTCCAAATTGAAGAAACACGTTTTGGTCTAACACGAGTCATATCTTGAAGATTTTGAAAAAAAAAATTTAAAATTTAAGGGTACTTTACATGAAGCCCCCCCGACATTTTCAAAATTTTCTCAAAAAGCCTTCAGATTTTTCCTTTACATTTCTTGTAAGAATAGAGTAACATAGAAATATAGAGGTGGAATAGGTCCGATTTTCACGGTTAACTCTGCATTTTCTAAAATTTCAAAACTATGATTCTTTTCGGGTGTCTTCCTATAACTACAAAATTGATGATAAAGATTGTTCCATCAAATAAAATTTGTTCTCCGTAGTTAGTTCTTTCATTAAGGTCATGTATATTTTTTTGAAAATTTGAGTCGTTCTCGTGCAATATAGCGTGCAATATGCGCAATTTTTTAAAAAAATATAAAAATAAGATTTTCTCAAAAACAGCTCGAATATTTTCTTTAAACTTTTGGTAGGGATAGTGCTAAATGTACTCTACAATACATGAACGCCATATTCCTCTATTCTTTTTTCTAAATTTACAAAAATGTATTTTTTTTTACTTGCCTCCTATATCGATACTATTTATATTAGCGGCAATTTGTTCACGTTATTGTATTTACGAGTACATGTGCATTAAATAATTTCATATGAAGTTTCTCGAAAACTCAAAAATTTTCTGAGACAACAGCTTCAAATTTTCAGTTGCCCTTTTTTAAAAACGGCTCCAATTTTTTCAAAGAAAATGCCCATTAACAGGTTTTACTGTTCTTTAATAATCTTCAAATATTATTTACATTCTACTAATAGGAAACCGAAAAATTAAGAAAATTTCAAAAAAATATACTTTGGGCGAATATAGATGGCAGCAGGCAAGAGTATGTGGCAGATTCGAATAGCTAGCCGCGACCATAAGAAATAGAAAACTAATACGGGAAAGTCTGTGCCATTATGTAGCACGACTGGTTTACAACAGATTTTGTTAAAAGCAAAAATCTCTATCTTCAAATTTGTACTTTTGAAATGTTAACTTATTGTAATTTTTGAAAATATAGGGAGTACCGCGGCAATGAAAGTAGCACCACTTTTTACCGGCCTTTACAGAAACAAGGAGAAAAAGTTTAAAAAATATTTGGAGACATTTGTAAAAAAAATTGTCTACATTTCTCGCTAATGAAAAACCCTCAAAAATCAAAATATCCGTTTCAAACTGGCAAGCCCTCAAGTCCGTTTAGATCGATCGGGGATTATAAATTTTGGAGAAAATCGGCAGAACAGTTTAGGCGCTAGCCATGACCACAGACATTTTTTTCGGCGTCTTATACTACAACTATAACATTTAAGATGGAGAATTTCCCTCATTGAAATCTGTTCTTTGAGATACGGTCATGTACAATTTTTCAAAAACATGCCGACCTGGATGGCCGAGGTGGTCAGAGCGAGTGCTGACTCAGCGTTTCGGCCAGAATGGTAGCGAGGCACACCGTTGGCACGGTTGCTTGTCCCTTGTCTTTCGTGGATGTGTGTGTTGTCGCGGAAGGCCATGTGAGTCTGCTGACCAACGCATCGAGGAACCCGCAAGTGCGTCAGTGTCAAGTGTTAAGGTTAATGTGTGTCCCCATAGGGGACATAGTGGATACCCGGTGCGAGTAGTCGAAATCGACATCCCCCAAACCTGGAAGAACCCCCGGAAGCAAAAATAATGCCAAAACAATTTTTTCAAAAATTTGAGTAGTTTCTGCGTACTTTTGCATAAAATATAGGCAATTTATAAAACGTTTGGAGAAGTGTTTTCTAAAAAACCGCTCTTTTTTCTTTAAAATTTCTCCTTGTATCTATCAAAAGATGTAAAAAAATGCTGCTAGTCTCATTTCCGGCAAACTCTCTGTATTTTTGAATATTCAAAAATTTAACATTTCAAAACTATAAAATCGAAGACTGAGATTCTTGCCTTAAACAAGAACTGTTCTACCCCCCTGATGTCTGCACAAAAATACAAAAGTACCTTCAAGAGCAGAATATTTGGCAGAGTTCTCGTGTTTGTTTCTAAACTCTGAATTTTTTGTCTCGGAAGTATTTTCCATTATTGTACTCTGGAGCCTAGCAGTTTAGATTCTTTTTGGACAAATTCAAGTCCCGTGCCAAATCATTTAGGTCTTCCTGCCCTACTAAATGCAGACCTGTGACAGACATTCCTGGTAAGTAGTCTGGATATTTTGAAGTGAAGAATGCGAAATTACGATTTTTATTTCATCGAATCGAGTCAGTTCTACAGATCATGATCAATTTTTCTCTATGAAACTCGCATAACTATGTTTGAGGTACACACCTAACAGGCACGAACTTCACGCGCAGTACGGGTACAGTTCCGCATGACACCGACTGATTCAGAATCTGCCACCCCAACAATTTGATACTTGTATACTTGCAATACGGTAAGGTGTTAAAACAGTTAATTTCGGTGAAGAAAATATGAGGGTTCAAGTGACTTGCTTTCAAAACATCCACTAAGATCTACTAGTATAACCTGATGACAAACATAAAAGACCAAGGAACATAAGGACTTTAAGTAAGAAGCAACGGATGTACAATTCATATGAAACTTTCCAATAATGAAGGAAACAAGACAAAATAAAGCAATAACATTCTAGTGCCATGTAGTGACAACCATACTTATTAATTTCAGAAAGTTGTGTATATTAAATATTGTTTTTTTTCTTCAAAATAAAAAAGTATAATGAAAAGGTTCATAATGAAATTCGCGAAATGGTTCATAATGAATACAATACATGTAAAGCGATTGTAAGCGATGTAAAGCGAAGCAAGAAAACCTTACATGAAGTAAATGGATTAAAAATTCGGATTCAGCACATCGACATTGTATCCAATCACATTTTTTACTTCAGGCAATAGACAAAAAATTTAAATTCGCAGGCTAATGATATTAATGCACTGTATCTTACTGTTATTTCTTCGCGCGCTCTTGATTTTCTCGGGTGCTCCCGCGCTGCTTTCACTCGCAGAGGTTATTCTTTCTTCCTGTCGTCATGTTTTCGTGTTATATTTATTAATGCTGCTCGAAATTATACTATTCCGTACTTTCCCCCACTTCTCCCCTCTAATGGGTGTCTAATTCCGAATACTTCCCAGTCAATTATTCATGTTACTTTACAATTTCAAATTATTCGACTAATCTCTATACTTAATATCAAACTTTTCTATTTTTCTAATGTAATCACTAATAAAACTGTCACTCTCGTCTCCTAACAATAATTAAGTTTTTTTTACTATTCGTGCAGCTGTTATATTGAAAAAACGATGTTGCTCGTTCGACATCTAAAGTTCGAGAGAGAAATTTTTGGTTGTCTATTCGCCGGATCTTAAATATTATATATTATATTATATATATATATATTATATAATATATAATATATTATATATAATAATATATATATAATATATATATATATTATTTTGAACATTTTCTATAGGTGAAATAAATACTATAAATGAAACAATGTCTAAAAGTTTTCTATTAATTCGTTGTTGAAAGTGAATAGAAAAGTCTGGAATAATTTGAATTTTGTATGTACGATTTCCTTTCACGAAATGAATTTGTGTAACTAATAATAATGATGGTAATATTGAATAAATAATTTCATTCATTCACTAGTTTCATGCATGCTAATGATCCGTCTTTTCTTAGAAAATTATGTTTAATCACACCCAATTCATACAAAAATACACTGTTAATAATATAATTGTCACCATCCCGTCACCTTTTTGGACGCGTTTACGCTCAGAAATATGTTCCGCAGACGTAAAGAAGACCAAGTTCAATTTGAACAAATACACCATCATGTACTATCTTTGAACAAATTTAATTACTGTTAACAATGCATTTATCTGCCTTGGTTTAACCCAAACACTGATTTTCATGTATATTATTAGATTGAGATTGATAGTGCTGCATTCTAGTAGAACAATTATGCAATTGACTTCGAATATAGTTCAGGGTCAAAACCGCAGAGCTCATGCATCATGTAGATTCGGAGATAAACAATTGAAATTTTAATAAATATGCCCACGCAGTAGCGGCGGCCATTTGGCATTTTGGTGTTGTGCAGCAGCGATGGGTCAGCAGGGTGCGGGGCGAGGGGAGCTACGCTCGTGGCAAACCATGAACGAGGATAGGGAGCGGTATAATTATAGGGCGGGCAATCCAACTGCCAATAACTACGTTCCATCCATCTCCTCTGCCAGGTTAGTATCAAATAGGCCAAATTTCAAAAATAGGCTGCATCTGTGTTACTGGAACAATCACCATTCCGTAGCATAACAAACCAAAAAATATGTATTTCAAATATTGAATTTAAATATTTCCAATACACGGTTACAAATACATTTCAAAGAAGAAAAAAACCGAAAGACGATTAAGAGAGGAACAGAACGTCGTTCCTGAATCATTGGTCTCCCATCAGATATTTTTAAATTAATTATAACACATTCCTCCAATTGTTTACTACTTACTAGCTTAATTATCTTTCTTTACACAATCAATTTGAAAATTCCCTCCAAAACTACCTTAGTGTATGAATCCAAGATTCATGCAAATGAGCACTTATAATGAGATTATGTGTATTACAGATATATTTTTTAATTCATATTTCTTGTGAATTATGTTGTGATTATTCTCTTGCTAATTTTAATTAATTTTAATGTTTTTTATTCCTTGGCAATTGGCAACTAATTCTGATTTTTCTTCATTAATTATGTAGTAATATTGTGTGATATTACTATATTATGTAATATTGTGTCATAAAGCTTCAACAGTAGGAGGACCAAGGAATCTGAATTTAAAAGAAAAATAGTAGCTGCGAAAGTAGATGTATTTTACTAATACACCATTCCATCGCAGAACTAAAAAGTGAAACAAATGTTAAAATCATTATTTTCCATCACAGAAAAAGGGGTGTTAAATTGTATAGATAGTTTAAGTATTTTCAATGCACATTTTTAGATATGAAAAAAGCAAATAATTATAATTTAAGTATGGTAAGTGTGAGATTACAATTACAAAATTGTGCAGAATAACAATGTTTATTAATATTTCTTTCCTTTTTAACATTGTTATATTGGACTACAATGCAAGATACAAAAGTGCACAATACATAACATGATATGTATTTCGTAAGTTAAGCTTGATAGATTGAATGTAGACTAATTGAGGGTGTCAGCGCAATAGTGGCCTATCCCCAGATCCTGTGTTTGGAGAAAATGGCTGATGAAGTTATTGGCAAAATTAAACACTTATTTGTAAGTGTTTTCATATTATGATATTATGTAAGAATGACCACTGACTAAACATTTGTGGTGGATTACATCTTGTGTAAAACAGCATTGCCTATGCTTAGGCCAATATTGCACAAAGAAATGTAATCGTAAGCTGAGTGCAATAGTTCTTTTTGTAATTATAACTTGAAAACTATCGACGCAAACATGCTGAAACTGTTACACATTGAAGTTAGGGAGATTAAGATGTGATTAACACAGGGAACGCAATTTCCTAAAAATGTGGGATAGGCCACTATTGCGCTGTCACCCTCAATTTTTCTTGCATTTATAGACATTTCGAAATAAATTATCATTGTGTTATTGTAATATGTTGTAATTTGTTTTGCTGCATTGTAAATCTGTGCACATGATTCTTCCTGGGAATAAGTCAATTGTAGTAAAATAAACATTAGTGCTGTTATTATTTCTATTATTATTATTATTATTATTATTATTATTATTATTATTATTATTATTATTATTATTTATTGATTTTTCTCGGAGATTTCTCACTCGAGGTTCAAGGTTTGAGAGGCCTTTAAGCTTACCAGATTCCTTGTAACAATTAACTAAAGAGGTAAAATGCTAAATTTTGAGAAACATGGTTCAAATAAATGTAAAAAAGAACATAACATCAAACCTAATTTCACTGCAACGTGAATTACACCAATAAGGCTTCCAGTTTTTCAGAATAATATTTAAAGCTAAAAAAGATAGAACTTTATAAATTAACCATGGGTATAAAATAATTGTCAGAAAGATGGAGGTAGGTTTTTAGAGATTGATAAATATTGTTTATAATTATCTTGTATTTTAATAGGGAACATTGTGCCTTAACAGGGCAAAATATTTATTTATGTACTAAAATATTTTAAAATATTGCTTTCTCAAGTGTTAACATCTTTAAATATTTATGCACCATTATAAAAATATTTATCAATATTTTAAAATCAACAATAATCCTATTAGTGGAAGCGATCATAGAAGTGGTAGAGGTAGTGGTACTGGTATTGGTAGTGGTGGTTGTGATGGTTTTAATGTATTGTGATGTATTGTAAATCAGCACACATACATTTACTTCCTTCCAATAAGTCAGTTGTAGTAAAATAAACATTATTATTACTATTATTATTATTATTATTATTATTATTATTATCATTATTATTATTTATATTATTATTTATTTTTTCTTAGAATTTTCTCTCCCAAGGTACAAAGTACCTGAGGAACCTTCAAGCATACCACATCCCTAGGTTTACACAGAACACTGCAAATAATCTAGCAGGTTTCAACATTTACTAATCTTTGAAGTTTTGAAATAATTTTGTGAGAAGAAAGACATATATTTTTTCAAATACTTGAGATTTTTATTAACTAGACCAATTGCTTTTATGGCAATTGGTATAATCTTAAAAGACTCAAGTTTGATATTTCTTTATATTCTATTATGAAAGGAATGAATTTTGAAATATAATGTTCTGCATTATTGATGTTGTGATTTACAGCATGTGTAACATCATGGCTGAATAACTTCCTTTCCAATAAGTTATGTGGTAAAATTGTCTGGTTATTTGCTGGGATATTTTACCCATTTTATTGGAATGTCGAAATATATTTTGAACTAATTATTTTGTATGACAGGTTCTGCTTTGTGTTCATAACAAGGAGCAAATTCTTCTTCTGCCTGAAGCTTATATTTGATTGTCAGTGCTTGGTATAATAATTGCTATCAGATTGTGTCGGTGTTGATCCATATTTTCTATAATTTTGTAGTTATAAATTGAAATATCTTGGTCCTAAATTTTGTGAATGAAACCCTTTCTCTCTCCACACCGCCGGCTCAGAACTGCGTTGTAGTATTAACCCGTCGTTGGACCAAAGGTAACTGCCGCACTCATCTTTGATTTCGATTATTACTATAACAAGTTATAATCAATAGCTTGCTTCATGCGCGGAAAAATGAATGATTTCCCGTCGTCTTACATTTTTATTACTATGGTCATTGTAATGACAAATATTTCAATAAATGTAGGCACTCAGAAAAGTAGTCAATGTACCTCATCATACTTTTAATACATTTTATTTTCCATCCTAATAATTTTGTATTAACTATTAAATAATAAACATTATATAGAAATGTAATTACAAATATGGCCGTTAGAAAGAAAAAACTTGAAAAAAGTGTCAATTAAAGTTAAGATCACATGTGCGTGTCGCTCACCGTCGAACGTCGGGGTCTGTCTGGGAAAGGTCGAACAACGGCGGTTTAAACTTTTACTTTTCTGTCGTCCTGTCGTCCAGTGAACCATCGCCCCTCGGAAGGGGCTGTTCATTGTCCTTTCAATCGGGCTTTCTACGGGAAATCAAGTGAACTTTAGGCGTGGCAAACAATTTCGTGAGTCTTTGAAGGAACAAAACACTGACAGGAACACAAGAAAAAACAAAGTGTTGAGAGGAGAAAGTCAAATATGGATTTATGAAGGGATTCTATTGTACCTTCCGTTATGAAGGGTATTCTTTCTTTGGGGCTTTTCGCTGTCGTAGGCAGCGTCGCAAAGGGGTTGCCTCTGAGGTCAGAAACCTGTGGACGATCCTTGTTCTGCTGGCGCGGCTGGTGCTGATGACGGGGATGTGTGTTGCAGAAACCGCAGCTTCCGCGGCACGGGCAGGGGCCGTGTGGCCTCCGCCGCCACCGCCGCCGCACCGCCGGCCGCGCCCCGCGCGAGCGCACAGCCACCCCTGGGAATGGTGCCGGGGTTTCCAGTCCGGCGTTCTGTGTCGCCTTGCGATCGGAATACGTTGCCTTTGGCCGCCTCCCGCCCCGCCCCGCGCCCCCGGCCCCCTCCCCTGTCGTAACACAGTGCTCTCGAAAGGTAATCCTCTAGACTCGCATGAACCGACGTCCGATTTTAAGTAAGTATTCAATCTGTACGTGCGTGAACTTGATGTAATATGTGATGTAGACTCGTCGTCCTAAGAACTAGGTTTTCCGCGTGTAGTCTCGTTCCGGCACCTTGGTCTCGTGGCTAGACACAAGAGATACTGTGTTTTGTGTAATGTCCAGTCACCTATGTCTCTATATATAATCGGTGTGTGGTGGTGACATAACGTGCACTCCACTTCCTCTATGTCATTCTCTCAGGTGCAATCGCTTATGGGCAGGTCTGTCCTGCTCGCTGGTGTTCAGGAGAGAATCACATAACTTAAGACCCCGCTTTTGATGACATGAGGTAAATTATTAAACATAGTATTTCAGGGATTGGCGTGTTAATTGTTGATCTGTAGTACCGTAAGTTACTTATAACGTGCTGCCCCAACAAAAGTGATGTCCGCACCGAAGCCGAATATCAGGGGCCTCTTGATTAAAAATATGCCTAAATGTAATGTTCTCGTAGCAACAAAATCACTGGAAACAAGTAAGAGGCAACATTTCCATAATTGTTGATTGATTGTGGTAGTAGTACGCAATTTACGGTTTGCGTTGTTACTATAAGCTTGCAACTCGGCTATCAACATTTATTTCTCAGCGCTGTTAAGCACTCTCACCAGCCACCGTCCGTTTGCGGACGAGACTTCCGGCGCACTGTAGTTTTTAAAACTCAGCTCTGCTAAATACCAAACGTCAAGCCCCTGATGGATTAGTTATTTTGTTTGAAATTGCTGCTCGCTACACGTATAGGACCCATGTCATCATTCTACACGTCCCCTTTCTCAGCGACGAAGCCCCCGGCTGCCCACCTACACGCCGCCTGCACTCGCCACCGCGCGCAGGGCCGCCGCCGGCCCTATCATCTGCACTGGGCCTGCCCTACTCGCCGACACCACCTTCAAGCCTGTCTTCGCGCGAGGCAGCTGCCCGCCTTTCTTAGCGCCCCACGCCGCCGCGCTCGCCGCCCACCGCCCGAACTGCCCTGTGCTCCGTGCGGCCGCCACGGCGCGCGACGTCTTTGGACAGTCGGCTCGCTTGGCCGTCGGCCGGCGTTCCTCCGCGGCCGTCCCGTGCACGCCCCCAATCGCCGCCGCCCCCGCCTGAGCCCGTTCTGTCTTTTCAACGCTGATGCTGCGGTACGCGACGTAGGCAACGGGCCTGGGCAAAAATCCTCACGCCGCGGCCTGCCACGGCCATGTTCGGCCCACGAGAGAGTTCTCGAGAGCGCTATCACGGGGCTGCTCTGTTTCCCGGCGCACCGAAGCGGACGGTGTGCAGGTGCGAGCAGCACCTCATAACGCTGCGGGAGCGCGGCCGGCCGCCCGCTGCACCTCACGTGGTCGACACGCCGGGGCCTCGGCGACGCCGGCCGACCACCCGCCAGACCGCTTCCCCGACATCCTCGCCCCTACCCATCGCGACTGCTACCTCGACTGACTTCAAAACCAAGACACAGACGCCCACACGAGCTCGCTCCGATCGATTTAGGAATTCATTGCTGCCTGTACTCATCGAAAACCCACCGGGCCATACGACTTGCAGCCCTTCCGGACTGTCGATGCCCGAATTGAAGGCCCGAGCTTCAAGATTAAGGTCAACGTCCCATTTACGGTCATGGAACGAAAAAAAAGCCGGATACCATGAGACCTAATATGAATGCTATCGATTCAAAAGGCGACTCTCCGATCAAATTGCGGGAACCAAGCAAATTGACCCGTCTCATTGATTTTCCGGAAGTGTGAACCCTCAAGAAAAGAAACAGCTGAGAGCGCTCAAGAGCGACTCCCGTTTGCCCCGTCGTGGATTCAACTCAGAGTATGCATGAATACGGCCGAGAAGATGGATGGCTCGCAGGATTACCCATGGGGAATCGCGAGTCGAGACACTGCGAAGCCACAATGATTTCTCCTTCTATTAAGAAGGTTTTGCCTGCAAATCCACTTGAATAAATAACAAAAGAAGCGCAACCGAAAGCTGCATATGATGAATGTATCGGCTGCAGGGACGACTCACTCCCCTTTCTTTTGATGACTTTTGAAACTTAGACCGATTCCAAAAATTGGAAACAACAGATATTATATCACCTTTAAACCTTCTATTTGTCGGCATGCAGTTGCTGATTACTTTACTTCGGTTAAATGCTGTTCCTCATCATCCCTCAAGCAAATAATTAGTAAATGGAAGATTGACATTTGAACCTTTTCAACCTTATCCGCATACATTTTTAATCTTTAATTTGACTCGTCTACTTAGTCGTAGTGTCACACACTGGTCGTACGTCAATAGGTTGTCCATTTGCTCATGGTTGCCTTCCAGCGCTATGTTATGTGCCTAGTGCACACGTTGTAACACAACATGATGTAAAACAACTAGTGTCGATATAAAATAAAAAATGATTTCCTATTTTGAATCTTGACGAATTTTTAAGATTATGTTTAATTGTTAGGCCTGTTCCCATAAACCTGAAATACTATAAATTTCACATTTTTGAAGTTGAGCAAAATAAAGCCAAACTCTCATACTTTTAATACATGGTGTTTTACTTCCTCCTCGCCCACCAAACAATTAATCCCCCCCCAACTCATAAATGATAATTCTCAGAATAATGTGTGATTCTGAAATTGAATATCAGGCATCGATATTTATATCTGGCAGCTCAGTGGTTTGAACACGTGGTCCAAACCACTGTTGAGTGACGCTGGAAGTTTGAACAAATCTGCTTTCCAATTTTGCCCACTGCGCTTATCACGTATACACTTCTAGTTTTGTCACATGATAATATTAATATAACTCA